TTTTCACCTTCCCATAATTCTGTGTGCCGCTGGACTGTTTTCTACTGAATTTATTCTTCATGGACTGTTTTTACATCAATCATGTCCAGTGAAGAAATCACTACCTTTGAACAGAGTTTGTAAAAAAGACCTTATCAAGACGCTGACCGTTTTGTTTACTCAAGTTGAAGTCATATTTCTAGCTAAAAGTGAAATTAAAAGTTCATAATTACTCACTCAATTGTCTCAATATTCTTCTCTATATATCATATACTTTTTTTTTTGTTTCAAATTAAATATTCATCTTATTGTTTTAAAATGTTTTGAAATAATATTTATTATTTCAAAATGAAAAATACTTTTTTAATGTTACATTTTTTGAAATAAATATTTTAGGTGGATTATCTCTCTAATTTTTATAATTTTTAAAGAAAATAATTATAAATAAAAAGCAAAATGCCTTACTTTTAAAATTTTATACCATTTAAAAATAAATATTCATTTTAAAATAGAAAAAATTAATAAATCATTTAAATTTAATCACATGCCATGTATCTTAAAATTAGAATATGAAACCTCCAATGCATACAAAGATATTTTAACAATATAAACCCTATCTCAATTAATTATATAAAATATGCTCTTTTTATTAATTTATACAAACATACATTCTCAAATTGATTATGAAGGGTTCGACTAAAGACAAATCAAGACTGACGGATTATGAGAGTGTATCGAGAAATCATGCTGAAGCAGTCTTGGGATTACTTTATGGGTCGATTGGAATCAAGGACTCTAATGTATCTATTAGACGAAAGGACAAGCTAGCTCGAAAATTCTAAAAGAACATTGATAATTTGATATTAATTCAATGTTTATGCAAAGGCCGCTTCTAGATAATTTAGTGGATTGACGCTTTTTCTTTTCCTAATGCTCATTTAGTAGATTAAGCTAGATAGAATTAATTCAAAACCCCAATGCATATTAAGAATGAATTTTATACTCTTTAGCAGCCATTATGCAACTCATTCGAAAGATAAGGGTTGATATTCCCTCACTTGTGTGCCTTAAATTTAACAGAATTTGGACTTAAGTATTATTGAGAAGCCACCAATTCTTTGAAGGCACCTTTCAGATTCAAGCAACTTAACCAAGAATCAAGTCGCCAATTGGATCTTTAAACTATAATGAAATAAGGTGACATCATTTTGATTCTTAGCCCATTTTCTAGCAATTGACTAAAACAAAATTACACCCACTCAAGCCCTGTTTTAGGTATTGGCTAGGATGTCCAGGGATTCTGATTAGATATTTTTCACTGTCTCCTCCTAGAAATTAATAAGGGAAAGGCATTACTAAAAAGGAGGCCGTATTTAAAGCTACATCATCTATTTGCATTCTTAATTTTCTTAAATTAGTAGGCAAAAAGGTATACGAAGTCCTATAAAGAGTACAGCTCCCACTTGTTCATTCATGAATCTTAATTTTTTTTCTTGTAAGGAAGTGTAACAATTAGAAAATTTTTCATTCTTTAAGACCACATTACAAGAATTAAAAATTGAAAATTTATCTTGCAAGTTTAGGAGAGGGAAGAGATCCTATCTCCGGCTATAAGCTTCAGATCGAATGACCCTCCATAATTTTCTTTAATCTAAAAAATTAAGAGTGTTTAGTATTAGATACATAAGGTTTTCTTACATTCTTTTCCACTTAATAATTAATTGGTAAAATTAAAAATATAAACCCATTATAAAAAAGTGGATTAATAGGACAAGGCAAATTAAGCAGATAGGCAAGATTCTCTAATCTCTAGGTTGCTTGGACACTAAAGGCCCCAGTAATTAGCACAAGAACATTTGTTATTCCAAACTTGTAATTAAATTAACTAATTAATCAAATCAAGAACTTCGATGAGAAATTAAGAATAATAAGATGATTTTTGAAGGATTTGTCAAAACTCGAATATTATTATTTTACTATTCATTATACTTGACGGCTTCAAGGGGGACATGTTAGATATGATTTGATTCACCTAAACATCTTTTCATTAGTTTCTAACTTTCTGTTACTCCACTAACAATTCCAACCCCACCCCCCCCGCCCCCAATGCTATTAATGCACAGCCATGTGATTCCCTTGTTGAGGCCGTCCATTGCCAACAATTTTGCATTTTAATTGACGGCGGAGGCTACCAATATCATGGCCAAAACTATGCATTTCAATTGAAGAATTGGGTCAATTCCAATCAACTCCAATGGGGAAACTCAACAAAAATGTGGAAATAACTAAGCAGTTTCTGGTGGAAACTATCATTTCGAATGTTTCCCACTAAAGAAAAAGCTGATTTGGAAATGCACTTTGCCTAACATTGATTTGCCATATTTTAAGAAAACAACCTTTCTTTTCACTTGCTCTAGTCCTGCCCAATTCTACACTAACCCTTCTAACTTTTTTCTTTTCGAAGTCTTCCAATAGTAACAGCACCCAAGTACATTTTCGAGCCACCACGTCTTTCAACCTAATCCATTACTAACTTTGAACCTTTTTTTTCTTCCTTCTAATCAACCATGGTAGCTAATGAGTCACAAAGTAATTTTTTATAGCCAATAATTTAATGGATAAGGAGTCTAATTAAAAAGGTAAATCAATTCATTTTGTGCTTTGGGTATTTTTTCCACTAAGGACGTCTATTTTAAATTGCCATCTATCATGAGATAAGCTTCACTCATTGACAATTGTGACCAAATTTAGAGAAATTGATAAGACCACTTTCTAGAACAAATTGTACTATTACAATTTGGACTAGCAATAATGTCCTATTTAGCTCTTATATTTGAAAAAAAAAAATTCTAATATGGTACTTGTATTAAGAAAATGTTTAATATGATAGTTCAACTTTCTTTTCATGTATCCACCTATCCTCGACCCTTTAACATTGTTAATAGAAGTTGATGACATGTCTATCAATCAATCAAAGTTTGACACATGACCCATTAAACACCATGTTAAAATATTCTTTTCATTTGTACATGTGGCACATGTATGGCCCCACATGGCTATCATGTGTCACAAAAATTCACTCGGCATAATATCTAAAAAAATCATTGACCTCTTGCAGTCTTGTGCATATCATGATAACGTAAATTGTGGAGGTCAGTGGTATTGGTTTTTGTTAACCACTGCTCCCCTCTTCTTACGGTTGATATATATATCCCTTGATTTAAAAAAAATATTTAAAAAAATTAAAAAAATTATTATATTTTATTACGTTCAATTAAATTTTTATATTTTTTTTGTTAAATAAGTCTTTATATTTTTATTTTCAGTCAAATAAATTTTTATATTTTTATTTTAAGTCAAATAAGCATTTATAATTAATTAATGATTGATTTAGTCAAAATATTATTTGTTATTTTATATTATGTGAAATTGACGTAACATACTAAAATATCACAATTGATGATAATATAATATACTGATATATCATAATTGATTATAAAATGATATATTAATTTGATATGATAACATGATTATGTGATTTGTTTATCTTCTATATCAATGTCATGTCAGTACCACATGGATATAAAATAATAATTATTATATTAACTAACGATAATTAGTCAATAATTGATTATAAAGATTTATTTGATCTGAAAATAAAAGTACAGGTACTTGATTGACTCCAAGAATTTGTTTCAATTTTCTTAAATAAAAAACTTATTTGAGTATTATGCCAATTCCCTCCAAAGGGATGCTCCAATTATTTTGACATGTGGTAGCCATGTAGGCGTCACATGTACAAATGGAAAAGGTTTAATGGGTAACATAGCATATATTTTGTCACATTTCCCAATTTGGTTGATTGACAATCGGGTCATTAACTTTAGTTAAAGAGGGTTATAATAATGAGATAAATTTGAAATAAAAATTGAAATATCACATTTTTAGCATAAATGTCACATTAAATTTTTTTTTTTGAAGTACAAGAGCTAAATATATACGGCATAATTCCATTAGACTGTTAATGACAATGGAACTTCTTTAGTCAATTTTATTAAAATTCAGTCCATATATACATAAAAGGTCAATTCTCTTAGAGAAATCAGTGTCTCATAATGGGAGGAGATTATAAAATATGACAATGTTCCATGAGTTATTTTATTAGTTTTATTTAGGGTAAATCATCTCTTCGATCACCGAAATTTTTGTATTTGTCTAACATCGATTAGAGTGGCTTTTGATGTATAGATATGTTCATCGTCCATGGGTTGCTTCGCTCCTGTTGAGTTTGTTTTAGGACTTTTCTGTGCTCAGGCCATTATCTATTTTAATGGCAGGTGCCTCTGACAATGTATAGGCTTCTTTTGCTCAAACCGAATTAACTTATGTCGTGAGAGTCTTTTACAATTCAAATAAGAGACTTGAAATGATATTATAGTGATGAGGTTAATAAATTTGCTTTAAAAAATAAAAAATATTACATAAGCTGTGCACAATTACAGGCCATTAGACAGTAAGTAAAAGCCTTTTGGGCATTTCACATCAACGGTTAATTCAACTAGTTCTGCGAAGCTTATAGAGCATAAAACAATTATGGAATTCTAAAGTACTGAAAATTGATACCCGAAAAAAACCTATTAATGACTCGACTCAACGGAATCGTGCATATATTAAGCTTATTGGACAGCAAAGCTAGTAGCAAAGCTAGTGGCCCAACCTATAACAAAATAAAGTCTCTGTCTCCTTTCCCCAACAAAAGACGCCATTGATTGTATTGGTTGTTGCTCTCTTTTCCCTCTCCCATTCTTTTCTTCAAATTTGCCAGAACACATTTTTGACACTTTGGATCCATCTTCAAGAGCTATGGTTTTTTTTTTTTTTATGCTCTTTAATTATAATCAATGAACTTTGGGGTCCATTTCCAATTAGTACCACTCTTTCCTCCTCTTCTTCTTTTTCAGCTTTCATGTCTGCCAAGTTTTGCAAGCAATGCGATGATATTTATGTGAGTTTAGCTCAAATAATCCACAAAATTAAGGATGCTATAAACTTAAAACAGAACAATATTTTTTCTTCATTTTTATTTACTTTGTTCTGTTTTTGTTTTTCCCCTTTGCATAATGGATCAATTCCGAATTTCCAATGTATATATCCTTACTTGAACCCTCAACCAGAAAAGAAAAACAAAATGAGAAAAAAAAAAAAAGAATAACAAGAAAGGAAAGGAAACAAATGAAGATTATTTGTAAAACACCCACAAAAAAGGTGAGCTTAACATTTTTCATATGCTCATCAACATATACATATTCCCGCAAAACTGCAACTACACCTGAACTAGAAAAAAGAAAACAAACACAACAAAAAGAATTATATGGAAAAAACCATGATGAAGGAATTAAGGTTGAAAGATAAAAGATATTCTTTAAGTTTTTCCCTTTAAGCTTCATGTAACTCTCTCAAACTTGTTCACTAAGGCGAGTGGAAGAGGCCGGCTTCGCCAGGTAAGTAGGATTTTCATCACCAGCCATGATGACAACAATCTTAGGCTCCATTTCTAGTTGCATGCTCACTTGCTTGGCAGGCTTTTCTTCAGCTTCATCATGAGCGGAATTGGATGGAGAGTTTTTGTACGAACAAGCTAGAATGACTAGTGCAAAAGCAATGAGTCCTAGCATGAGTGCTAGGCCACCAAAGAGGTAAGGAACGGGAGAGTTCCAGTGCCCGAAACCGGCTCCAGTTGCAGATGCAGTGGAGTTGCTTGCAGGCCTCATCTCTTTTGATGTGCAAAACTTTATCTCTTACTACTTGTTTTTCTAACTGGTTTTGATGGTGCAGTGTAATGGGGGCTTTGAATTTATAGTACCAACCAATTGAGGTCCACAGTGCCTGGATTAGGACAAGGAAACTGAGGCTGCTTTTGGTAAGGTACCAAATTGCCCCCAATTTTTAAAAGAGATTCTTTCTTGGGCTCTACTGATACTAGGGTATTGATTATTTGAGAAGCTTCTTGGTCAGTTGGGCAGCCAAAATGCCCTCTTTCATTGCCTGAAATTACATATTCTAATGATTCCGTAGATAATTTATTTATATAGCTCTTGCAATGTAGGTTAAGCCAACTTAATTAGGACTATCCAAATTGAGGATTTCAAAAGAGTCTTCTAAATTATGGAGTGCCAACCACAATTGATTCAAGAATCCACATACCATTAATTTTTTTTATATATATAGATAAGTTTTGCAGTTGCAAATCAATTAGACATCACTTTCAGCTTCAAAGCCTGCATATAACTATAACACTGTTAATCTTAATTAAGATGTAAGGCAGTGTAATCAACTCATGATATACATATTGCAAAAAGGGATAGATGGGTAAATTTGCTAGGGTGGAAATTCATGTTACAAGAATGAAGCAACCAACAAAGAAAAAAGAGCGAATGAATGCGAATGTGTGTCCAATGAAAGGCTTTTCGTTTATCTATTAATAGGGGTCCCATTAAACGTGTCCTTTTGGCACACGTATTCCCTTAATCTTCCCCTTCCGAGCATGACTCGGGGAATGAATCTGCTAAGCAGCCTCTTCCTTCCCTGTTGAAAATGGGACAATTTTCCATGTGCTTGCAGCATAACAAGATGCCAAATACTATCCCCTCCTTAACAAGAAATCACCCTTTTATAATTACACAATAATAGCTTTGTTGGGATATAATTAATTGTTTGGAATCCAAGTGATTTTCCTCATTGCAATTCATCAAACAATTCAAAATTTTTATTATCGCTATATAAACAGACATGACCCTTTCTTATTCCATAATCTTTTAAGATTAATGATTAGTCTAGCTATATATATATGGAACGAAAGTTAAGTCCCTTTCCTAAAACTTCTGTTGCCAAAAACATAAATTTTTTTTTAATACAAACAAGTTAAAAATCTTGTAAACCATAAACCCCAATATTACTTAATTTCTATCCAAAAGCCCAGCAGAAAAAAAAAAGTGAAAATAATGAATACTAAAAAACCAAATGAATGGGGTGTTTTCAAAGCAAAATAATTCCATATGTATCCTTAATTTGGTACGTAGCTGGTGAGTTTCATGTTGATGAACAAGGTCTCCCTTCATCACAAAGCATGCTTAATTAACTGGTTTGCAGTTAGCTAAGGTATCAACTTTGGTACCATAATGAAACACTCACCTAAGTATTACTGCTATTCAATGTGAGGCATTTGCTTTTGGTATTGTTAGAGTGAAAAGGACCATGCATTTTGCCACCAACATCATATATATATATGGAGAGATTTTGAATTAATGTTTCTCATGCATTAACATGGCTAATAAGACTGTGCTTTAAGCTCCCTATTAGTTTCATTATTATTAAAGAAAAAAAGGTAAATGATCTCCTCCTACTTGGCTAGATATTTGCTTGTTAAAGAAATTTAAAAATACTTAAAATGTAAAAGGACGAGGTAATTTAATTTCTCTGATTTCCTTGCATCTTATGAAAACTTTATGTTGTGATTCTCATAATGGTATTAGCTATCTTATTCCTGTTGTCTTCGCGATTTAAATACAAGATTTCTAATTCTAGTACCAAAAAGAAGCAGCATTTAAAGTCATCTTGTTTAGACTAACGATAGGGATATATCTAGCTATTCCCACAATAATGACAACAGGCTGGAACTTTGCTGTAGTCAAATGCGTACAATATCATTTAGAATGATTGATTAATATAGGTATAACATATACAAAAGTTTTTGAATTATTTAAAAATTTTAAATAATTTTTATTCTTTTATTATATTCAAATCAAGTCTTTATATTTTATTTTTATTCAAATATATAAACACCTATAATTAATGGTTGATTAGCACAATAATAACTTTTTCTATCAATTTTATTTAATATGGATAATTAAAATTGAAAGTTTTGCATTTTAATTTGAAAGAAATAATAAATTAAATTCTAAAATGAAAATTTTATATTGACAATCAAAACACTTTCATTATATATCAAATAATATATTTAAAAAAGAAATTGATAAACAAATCAAACAAAACCAGTATAAATTTAGACTAAATCCACGCATAGAGGAACTTGAACATGAGATCATAAATGTCGAATTCGTTGATTTGAATTTTATTCTATTTTCTTTTTTATTTCAATTCACTATTTCAATCATTATCTAACTTGCCTTTTCTACAAAGTGTCAACCACAAAACTGACATCAATCATACACAAAGCTTAGTGTAAAAAGTTGCTTGATCCATATCAGCAAAAATAAACCTAAACCATCATTGTCGGCATAGCCAATATGCTAAACCGGGGATGGTTTTCATGGTAAAATTGTTGGCTACCACATTTTTTTTAATTGTGATTTAAAATAATTAAGATGGAGGGTTAATCTAAGCAGATTAGGATTAATTGTGATGAGGAAAGAAAACTAATGGTGGGGTTTGGCAGTAGTGGGAGTGGGTGGGGGCGAGGGCTCCTTTTGGATTACAAAGAGCCAAGAGTGCAATAAGAAAGATCCTAAATGCTTTGTTAAATAAATTAATATACAGTATTATGATGGAAGTGCTGCTATGAAGTTTACATAAAGTAAGATTCACAACTACATATAATTAAATCCAGGTTTTATAGCATCAAATCCGAAGTGACATTTCCTAGAATTTATTGGGCCGCTGGGTTTATTTAATTGTTTTCATATTGATTAATGGCCGGAATAAGTGGCGGTTTCGTGGGTGCAATTTAGTTTGCAAGATTTAAATCTTAAACCTTAATCACTTTGAATTTTATAATTTTAAAAGGAATAACAATCCTTAAATTAAAATTGAGTTGTTTAAGATCATGTACTAACTAATTAATCATATGCTTAGATACTATTGTAAATCACATGTTATTATTTTATTACTAACATAATTTTTTGTGAGATATATGAAAAAATTTAAGAGATGAATAGAAGATCAAACTTTAAATTTTAAAGATTTTCATGATTAGTGTTTTGAATTTTTAATTTTAATAATTTAAGTTTATAAATGATTTTTCTAGTAAGAAAAGATGTAACGTTGCAACAAGTCAAGCAAAATGCACTATAAACGACAAAGAGAAAGATTAGAATAGTTCTTGAAATGTTAATTACTCTTGTGATAAGAGAATAGGGATACAAGTGATGAGAGATGAGCGACATAAATTAGAAAAGAGGTAGAGAAAGTGTTGTGGTGAAGTACGGAAAAGAATGAGGTGGAAAGACATTTGGAAATGAGAGAGAGTATTTGGAAAGAGCTTAGAGAGAGAGAGAGCTTTTTAAAGAGAATATCGTAAACAAGGGATCTTCTCTCTCAAATGAATTACCAAAGTGAAAGTGGTGACTTCGAAATAGTTTCTTGGGAAGAGCACGATTAGGACGAACATGTTCATCATGGGAAGAAGGAATCCATTACAGAAGAACATGTTTATCAGCACAGTAACCACTACGTATATTGAATGGTTAATATTTTAGCTTAATTATAGAGTGGAGCTTAGTGATGTGTCACATTTTTTCTTGAAAATGAGAGAAAAGGAAAAACAATTGTATTATTTTCTTTTACGCTCTTCAATAGATATAAGCCTGTTTTCACAATTTATTAACTAAATATGACTCCCAAACCTAATTGATTTTTCATAATCTTACTTAATTTGTTTGATTAAGAATAATCTAAAGAAAGAAAAAAGAATCTTCTCTAATTTTCTTTGTTTGTTTTTTTAAAAGAGAAAAATCGGGGGAGTTGGGCTGGCCAACTGAGACACCCAGCCCCAATATAGTGGGCCAACAAGAAATCCGTTATCCAAATCATATAAGGAAAAGGAAAGAAAAAAAACAAAACCCCCATGAATTTGGAGACTCAGAAAACCATGACAGTTTGTTTCAGTTGCATGCTTTAAAGATTTTGGTTTTGGTTATCTCTGTTACATTCCTTCAAAGGTTTTCCCTGCTTTGATTCTTTTCTTCTCTGCATTTTTTACTTTGATAAATTATATATATTAAGTTCATTTCTATTCTGTTTTCTTTTTATTGCTACAATAAATTTCCACTCTTTGTTTCCTTTTGGGTCTGAACAAAATCTAATCTTCATAGCTTTATACTTGAATTTGATCCCATTAGTTGAACTCATTCATGTTTTTGAAAAATCAATGTGGGTTTTTTCTTTTTGAACTCTCGTTGTTATTCATTAGCTATAAAGCGAGGAATCGAGGTTTTCTTTTTCTTTTTCTTTTTCTTTTTCCTTTTGGGGCCAGATTACACCAAGTTTTTCCTTGCTGTTGAATGCTGCATTTGTGGGGGTAAAGGAAGATTCTAAGTCGAGGTGATTCTCAAAACTTTAACTAGATTCATTTTTGTCTGTCAGCTAGTTTGCCTATGCCGTTCCTTTACTTAAAATCCTTACTTTTTTTTATATTATAGTGCTATTGTCTGAATCATTGCAATTATCGATAATCTGTTATTATAGGGTGAAGACGTTATAGTCCTCCTGGAACCCAATGGTTGTAAAACTAATTGTAACTCTAGGTAGTTTTTCATAATGCTTTTAAAGTTAAATCAAGTACTGATCAAAACTTATATGCACATATGTATGTATGTGTGTAAAATATAATTTATGTTTCATATAAAGACATGTACGCTTTGTCAATATAAGCAGAGTCAAAGTTGCAAGTATATGTCCTTATGCATGCGGACAATATTGTTTTTGACTGTTAAATGGAAGGAAATTAAGAATTGGCAGTTCCCAACTCTCCAGACAGGAGTTGGAATTGTGTGAGGAAAACTCTTGAAATGGCGCATTATAGGGTGCAACTTTGGGATCAAACTGACAAGCTAGAATGCACTAATGAAGAAAAGTAAAGCTTGATATTTTTATATAAGTTTGGTAAGTTCCAACATTCTTGAAGGACAATAAATGAACAAACCAGTGGTGGTGATGGAACAGGATCAACTAACATCAGCAACAGTGAGGCCATAGAATTAGGGGCCTTTTGCTAGCTTGAACAATTTTCAGAATAATTCTCAGTGTTACATTATTAGGATTTTGTAGTAGAAGGTTGTTGAGCTCATACTTTATGTTGTAAAAGATTGAAACTCTCTAAGATTAGCAGTGCTTGTTCCAATTACTGTTTCATGTATAGAAAATTTATGGTCTTTATAGTATCCATTTGGAAGTTACGGATTAACAACTAAACTATAGAATTAAGGTTATTAAACTTAGCTGATAGTTGGAAATATGATCTATTGTGCTGGTGATATTGTATATCAGTACAAACCCACTGAAGCTAAGCGGAGAACATTAGGCAGCTCAGGCCAGACTTGCTGATAATGTATACATTGCTAGGCATACCAACTAATAGATAAATTTTTAGAGGTTAAGTTCCAAATTGCATAGTGCTTTTTATTTGAATACGTAGGTGCAACTGTAGCACTAAGAAGACAGAAAGAGGTTAACCAATTTAGCCCTTAGAAAGTGAACTTTTAAAGCGAAAACCATTAAAACCTATTGGTTGGCAAGATTTCCACTAAACTAAACCTGGAACTTATTTTCTCAGTCATAATTGACTGAGGTGTCAGAGGCGTATCAGTCTCAAAACTGACAGACATCTGTTGGATTACTATTACCTTAACTCTGTAGCTTAATTGCTGAAGCTTGTGAAATATATGAAAACATTAACTGCTCCTGGTTAATTGTAGGGACTAGAGGCCTCAAAAGAAACAATGAAGAATCTTTGTCTAAATGAGTGAAGGTGAAGCAATGATGACGAACATTTGACAGATCAGAAATTGATATTTTGAGGGCCCGAGGATCAGGTTGGAGCTTGAGTAAAAATAAGCTTTGACTGGGCACCAAACTTTTGAGCTAGTGAACAATGACCTCCACAAACCTCTCCACTTTCCAAGGCTGAACTTTGTTCTTGCATAACTTTTGATTTGTAAAAAGTGCAAAGTACAATCTGCTTTTTCTATAAGGTTCTACTGTCAGTGCACACTTCACTTCTGAATTTTCCCCTTTCTCTTTTCTTCTTTTTGTTTGTGTGAGTGCAAGGAATAAATGTCCCTCCTGTTCAAGAGCTGAAGATCATTTATCGTTGGTTGAGAGGCTGTAACATTGATTCAACATAAAAATATCTTTGGTAATTTAATTGCTCCTACCAGGTTTCGCTACTTTTCTTTGTCATCCTGTGATGCAATTTACGTTTATTTTAGGGATATATTAACTAAAATTTAGCACTTTCAAGACATCCTTCAGATTTCATTTTTGTTGATGACATATATTTTGGCATATATTTCACCATGTGGATATATTTGGTGGCATAATATTTGTGAACATTTAAAAGCACGAAGCTAAAGCCAATGCTTGCCTAGTAGAGAAATTGACAAAAGATGCATGTGACATGAACCAATAGAATCAAGCATGCTCAAGTTAGAATACTACAGATTGTAAGTTAAGAGGGCACCACTGTTGTGGGTAAAGTGATAGCTCCCTTGACAATGTTATGTGTTTCTTTACGTCTGGCTGAACTTTGTTTCCTTTACACATATCCCTCAGAAAGTGAAAAAAGCGCAGCATTCTAAATTAAAGGTTAATGAGAGCCTACCTTTCTTTTGTTGAATAACTCCTTGAACTTGGCTTTTCATTCCACTCAATCGAAAAACTCTGGACACCTTCAATGAAAGGCTGAGGAGTTGAACTGTCTACATCATTATCCTAGCCATCCACTGTCAGAGTGGGTGATGGTACGCTATCATTAGCAAATGAGAATCTTGATTGAAATGCTTACAGTATGGAAAAAAGCACTGATACTTAACAAATGGCATTGCTGATATGGATACTTCAAGGCCTCTAGGATCAAGGAGGACCTCAACTTTAAAAGTAAAAAGGCTCACCAAGCGCTGATGATATTCACAGAATGCAACAGGTATGATCCACTACAGCCATGAATTGAGGTCCTCCAATAACCCTTTGATCTCCTTTCTGTTGTAATGTTGTCTTTTTGTCATTTGTAGATGACAGAAAAAGGAAAATTATACTTTTGTGAGAGCTTTTAATGTTTCACGAGTATATATGCTATTTTGGAGCAAGTGGCAACTTTTCCACCATTTTCCCTGCTACATGACAGAGAAGTTGTTGACTGTGTGGAATGGTGCCTACATGATCATTACCATGAAGATTGGCATCAAGATGATACTAATGGTATATACAATAACCCTTTTCTAGAATGATTGTCTCGGTCCAATTTTTCTCTAAATACTGTACCGAACAGAGTCAGATTGGCAATTGAGCTCAGTATATGCTTCTGTTGTATGCTCACAAGTGTTGCTTTTTCAACTTTTAATCCAAGTTCCAAAATGTGCAATATTAATCGTACAAAATGGGCATGTAGCAAACCCAAAGCTTTGTTAATGTAAATTTCCTAGTCTTAAAAAAGGATGGATTGCCACATATGCTTTACATTTTTCTGAGATATTGGTTACTGAAACCAAGGAATCTCAATCCATGATATACATTTGTGTAGAAAAATGCTTTCTGAATATTCTATTAGATGCATTAGTAGATGCTTTTATATTTCTGTCTCATGTAAGGTAAAAGCCATATGATGATTGTTCTTATTAATGAAAAGCAGAATAGATGAGATTCCTATAATCTTTAGCTTAATACCTACTGATAAGCAGATTATCTACAGGTTATGTCCAATCTGGTGGGGGAATATATGTGGCTGGACTTACAGGATATTGCCTGTGGGACTTTCCTTGTAAAGCAAAGATCCCCCTTCTTCCATATTAAAGCTAAACATTGTTATTTTTTGAAACACTTCTGTTACTGACCCATCTTTAATGTTGTTTTAATGGGTACATCAATTTCCTTTACCCTAATAGATGGATTAAATGAAATTATTCAAGTTTGCATTAGGCACCAGTTACCGCTTGTTCGGCACATAGGAGCAAGAGGATTCTCAATGCCTTGTAGGAATAGCAATGGAACATGCTGCTTTCGTTTCAAAGGACCTGATTATTCTCTAATCTGTGTATCTCTCATTCTCTCTCATTTTCATAGCCAGAGTTCCCTTTAGTGTTTCTGTCTACCCTTGGTATATAACTTCTGAATTACTTGATTATCAGGAAAAAGGCAAAAAAAAGGCCACATCCAAGTTGCTTTTTCCTTTTTGGATGGACACTTTTCTGCTTGTCTAAGGTGGTGCGCATGGAATCTTCAGCCAGAGAAAAAGAGTGGGGCTAGCCAAAAGGCCACTCGAACGTTCGAATAATCTTGCAAGAAGAAGCTGGCAGTTTCGTTATCAGATCCCTCTCATCATTAACCGCCTTCTTGCTGGACTTCTCTCTTTTTTCTCCCAGAAAAGGGTTTATGGTGAATTCTCTTTTCTTAAAGGTCAGTACGGTAGGCCATCCATTTACCATGGAAGCCTTTGATGTTTTTTTCCTTTCTCCATCGACCAAACATTTGAAATTGTAACAAAAGATGGAACCCCAAGAAAAGGATAATTGTAATTCCAAAGCACTAAATTCCAAAATTATAGATATACATGCATTTACAAGATAGCATGATCTAGACAATCAACAAAATTACTAAACATATACTATCTAATTGATTCAGACCAATTAGATTGAAAAAGATACAGTATCAGCATTAGAGCTTTACTATCAACTCGTACAATTCTCATCCATAGAGGTTTCTGTTTCCTTTTTCCTTTTGTCACTGCATTTAGAATGAAGGGACAATGCCATATCCAGTTTCTGTCATTAGTGTTGTGGAGAACATCTGGTCCACTTCAACTTCGACATCTGCTCTCTTTGCAAACCGACCCTTGATCCGAGGTCTTGTTTCTGCATATGCCTTCCTTGAAGCATACCTTATTGTCTTTTCAAACTTTCTTGTCTTCTTCTTCTCTCTGTATCTCAGGACCCTGGCCTCCCTGTCCATTGGCGTAAGTTGTGTTGGCATCTGAATGGGAGGTCCAGAGAAAAGGTCAATTGTACCTTTGGGGGGCCTTGGGTGCGAGATTGAGATATCACTTATAGTTGATTCTGGCACAATACCAACATCCACAGAGGAAAGGGATACCTGATATGGTTCAAGTTAAGTTAGAAAATCATCATTTAACATACCGACTAGATAGGATATATTGTGTATGCAATGTGCAATTCTCAGATGAAGCTGAAGGAGAAAGCAATGCATGTCTGGAAACCAGAACCAATTATCATTCTAATATTTTCACAAATACTGGAAAATACAACCATAAACTTGATATTAGCTTCTACAATCTATTTCTTAGTTCAAGGTCCAATTTTCATGTTTTTTCATAATGAAAATCAAAAGCAGTTTAGTAGAAGGATTATTACAGTTCTGAGTTAGAAAATTTTCTAGTCCAGGAAGACCTTAGCTTGAGAAGTGAACATGAAAAGATGAATTCTACATTTTAATGATCATATATGATCCCTAGAACTATTTGGTGAATGCCATATCATTTAAAAGAAAAGTTACATATATATATTTATAGTTATTTCCGTATAGTAGGAAACAAAACTTTTAGACTCAAAAACAGGCTTTCCTTTGTGCCCCCACAAGGGAAGGAAAAGGGCTTCCTTTAGAAGTAAAACTAGTTATATGTTGATTTTGTTAGGAGCTTAAAACAGAACTTTTAAGCATTGAGTAAGCGATGAATGATTGCAGATCGTATGTTTTTAGTCAGTAAAACTTAATTTGGAACTAATTAAGCTAAACCGATGCAGTTTTCCTGTTTATATAAACCATGTTTTTGTCAAGTATATCTGATCTGGTACAAAAGGGATAAGAAAACCAAAAGTGTGGAGATATTATTCCATTTGATTTTAGTCTTTATGGAAGAAAGGTAAAGTAAAGAAGAAAAGCAAACTAATAAAGTGCAGAAGAAAAAAAAAAAAAAGAAGATACCCCTTAGATTTTAATTTGTAGATTAAATGAAAAGTAGTTACTATCCTCTACTTGAGCTAACATAAATAGGGTGAAGAACAATTCCTTAAGAACGTACACAGAGATGACATAGGGAAAAACTAGCTTTACCGGGGTTACTCATGTTTCTTGTAGTCAAGTGAATAGCAATGGAAAAAGACCTTCAACGTTTGCAGAACAAGCCAGAAACTACGAGTATAAAGCAATTACATCTTTGTAAAGAATGTGGCTTGATTAAAACTAAGGTAATAACCTGAATAAGAGCAAATTCGAAGATTTCCAAAACTACTGGTTGTGAAAATTGCATGTTTAAGCAGATAAAAACAGGCTATAGATGAAAAAAAATTTCGTTGGCTGAAGTAATTATATACTGTGACCAGACTTGTACAGTACTACACTTTTATCTGAAACTCCGAACTAAAATCACTTCTATGTTCAAAATACTAAATCACCTCCTGGCAAGTTGTTTGTATAGAAAAGGAAACCTTACACTGTGACTAACGGAACCATTGTAGCTGTATGCAGCTTTTGAGGACTCATAATCCAGGCCAAATTGAAGACTCTGCTGTTGATGTTGCTGCTGCTGCAAGTGATCTTTGGCTTCTCCAGACTGAATTGGCACAACACTGTCACCCCCATAACTCTTGTTTGGAACACTATAATGTTGCTGCTGCTGATTATAGTGATCTGTGATGTGATTCTCAACACTTGAATTGTACTCCACAAGGTCCAGATAGTCATCAACCTCCCCACCGAACAAGTACCCGTTATTCTGGTTTGTGCTATTCTTCCCAGGATTCAGCAGTAACCATGAAGCTGCCTCATCCTCATCTTCCTCGGCAATTGTCTCATCTCCTTCCGGGTCCATAAAACCGTCTTCAGTTTCAGCTGCTGATGCAATTTTTCTTCCACCTAGGTCAGTGGCCGAGGGGCCATAAACGCACCCTGAAATTGGAAGAATTGGAACACGTTGGTGGCGACGTGCAAGTGGATTCGCAGAGTGTATTTCAGCATCACATGTAGTGCATAAGGATGCAGCGTCTGCCTTGCACAAGAAGGCAGCAGGTGCACGCTCACATGCCTCACATACCCACACACGTTCATGGCGCGAGGCCACCCGGTTTGCAGCATGTACACGGGCATCACATCTAGCACAGAGGTAGGCTGAGTCTGCTCGACAGTACACTGTGCAAGCTGCAGAGTGGCATGTGTCACATACACGTGCCCAGTTGTTGCTGCTGCCACCACCACCACCACCATCACTAGTCTCTTCTTTCAACATCTCTCACACACAAAGCTCTCAGAACTCAACTAATTTCGAGTGTGAGCACAGTGAAGAGAAGCCAGGAAGGGAGGTCTAACTGTAGGGAGACCCAAGTGGGGAGGAGAGAATCCAGGGGCTGACACGTGGCAACAAGTTAGTGGCATCAAAAGTTGTTACGTTATCTGGTGGTTAGCTTAGTTTTGGGGTGGGCCCGAACCCACAGCTTCTGCTTTGGCTTTTGGAATAATTTAATGTCTTCAAGTAGATGAACAGATTGTACTCGCCAATTTAGGCGATGACACTTGGCAGTCAAGCATGGATTCTGGGTCCACCGTAAATTGCTAAGATTCTGTATAACACGTGTCTTTCCTGACATGTGAGGACCACGTGGTCTTGTGTCAGGCTTTTGGCAAGTTTTGCATGGAACATTTAAGTGCCGTTTGGTACATTACAATACAATATGATTGCAAGTAATATAATTACAAATAATGTGATTGCAAGTAATGTGATTACAGGGAAAATAACATTACAGTGTTTGGTATGTAAGTAAAACAATGATTAAAATACCGGGAAGATAACATTGCAGTGTTTGGTTTACAAGTACTTTAGTGGGAATGTAATGCTAATTGTCAAAATTACTCCTAATTATTAAAATATAAGTTTAATATATTTATATTTTATTTATTAATTTATATAATATCATTTCTTAAATATATTTTTAATATCATATATTTTATTTTTTATTTATTATAATATTTTATATTTTATTTTAATATATTTATATTTTTATTATTATTAATTTTATATAATATCATTTCTTAAATATATTTTAATATCATATATTTTATTTTTATTATTATTAAATATTTTTTATTATTTTTAATATATTTATATTTATATTATTAATTTTATATAATATCATTTCTTAAATATATTTTAATGTCATATATTTTATTTTTATTTATTATTATAATATTTTATATTTATTTTTAATATATTTATATTTATATTATTAATTTTTATTAATATCATATTTTAAATATATTTTTAATGTCATATATTTTATTTTTATTTATTATTATAATATTTATATATTTTATTTTCATTTCTTTAATATATTTTTATATTATATATTTTATTTCATTTCTTAATATATTTTTTATATTATATATTTATTTTAATTTGTTTTATCTATATTATATAAATATTAATTTTTTATATTTTATTTTATTTTAATTTTTATTCTATATTATATATTTATTTTAATTATAATATTATAAAATATTTTAATAGATAATAAAATTGAAGGGTAAAATTATCTTTAAGAACATTGCAGAGTGCAATGTAATGTGATTGCATTGGTTTTGGACTGCAATCACATTACATCCATTGGCTGCAATTGTGATTGCATTGCAATCTTATATTGCAGTGATCTGTTACAAAACAAACACTGTAATGTAGTTTAATAAGCCACATTGCAGAGAATGTGGCTTACATCCCTTATACCAAACGACACCTTAGTGCTATATACGTGATCAGTATTCACTTTTCCTTTTCAACGGAAGAACAGTAGTCATATTCTGCAATTCTCAACAATCTTGCTCTTGGTTATTTGTTTAGATAATCATCCTCTCTAATGTTGCTATTGCTGAATCTCTGCTGCTCGGCTTCGACGGATGTGCTTCTGGTTCATGGTGTTTGATCAAAATCTGTCATGACAGGTTGAACTTAGCGTGGAACAAGTTTGATTTCATCTGGTAAGCGAGAAAGAAGTCCTAAAATGGACTTCCAAGTGTTCAACTTGTACATTTAATCATCATATTTGGGATGGTTTCTTTCAACTCCTTAATTTACCAAGATTTTCTGAATATTAAATGCTGCAATCTAACACTAACTAATTACATTTGGGATGATACAGACATATAACTGCATCAGCAGTTTTAACCTGATGATCATTAATGACTGGTTGCTATCATTTAACCATATGAACGAAGCTCGTCCACATGCATGGATTCAGAGGTTACTCAAAGAAAGAGGGTAGAGAAATGAAAGCACCATCTCTCTCTCTCTCTCTCTCTCTCTCTGCCTACTTGTCAAGCAAAAAGAAAACAAAAGTGAGTGATTAAATAGATACTGTTAACACAATCACCCGGACCTTAGTGATTTAATTAAGCTTTTTTTATGTATAATACTTATAAAAAATGTACACAAAAGTGACAGCTAACACAATCCAGAGTGTAAAATTAGATGATTCTCATGAGTGGTTTTAATTAAGCTTTCAAACATGCTTAATCAGTCAATTAATGATTACAAATCAATGGTTTTGTTCACACTAACTTTGCTCTAATTGCAAGCATTGAAGTGGGCCAACCACAAGACAACATGTCAGGCTGACTTGTATCACTTCAATCTGGGCTCTTGTCAGAACAGCGCTTACCTGGACATGATAAGCAGCTTTCACCTGATAACAAAGATGCTGACTCGGAAAACCCTAGAGAAATTCATGCAACCAATGGAAAACAGCCATGTGGGGGCTACCAGATGAGGATGCAGCTACACCACAAATTCGGGATACAAACACTGCTGAACTGATCCCCTCAAGTGGCCTCTTGGCTCCAACCAAAAGGTTCATATCACTCGCTCTCAAGGCTGCTGATGTGTCTCTTATCCCCAACCATTAGTGCTTAAAAGTTCAAATTGCATGCAGCTTTTTTGCCTTGTCTTAATCACTTTGATCATGATATATATCTTCAACAAAATAAAAATATGTGGTCCTAATTAATAGTCCCTTCCACCCCTTCTTACCCCCTAAATCACTCCTTTCTGTAGTATGTAATCAACAAAATTTTTGCATATCATACTTCTTTACGTTGCACGTCCAAAGACTTCTTTTCAAGGGATGATTTTGTCATATATAGGAGATTAATCTGGAGTGGCCTTTAATCTTAACTTGCCACTTTTGCAAACAAAATTATTATAGAAATAATGTATGATTTAGTTGTTTACTCTTCCAAAGAGAATCAAGATTCAAGATGTAACTTTTTATTTTATTTTGTTTAAATATACATGAAGAGAAAAGATTAAAAACGATATAAACTTAATTACCAAGGTAACATAATATATATACATATATTGAGATTTAACAATATTATATATATATATACATTAATATATTATTATATTATCAAATCGAGATATATTGATGATAGTTTAAACCTTACAAGTCATGATTTGATACTCAATATTGCTTAATATTTCAATCTTAACAAATAAATTAAAATTCTCACAATACCATATAGGATTATTACTATATATATGTGTATAACATTGAAAAATATTTGTAATATTACATGAATGAAAAGTAACCACGAAGTCAAGGAGTTCTCTAGAGCTAACTATTTTTCAGAAGCAATTCTGGGTATCCAAAAAAAAATGGGAAAAAATTTTCTGCCAACCAATTTGGATAAGGCCTAAGCTTATCAAACAAAATTGTCCTAGGGGATGGAAATCTCTCTAGCATATGACTGTATCTTTGTCATGTTGCTGGAGGACGAGAACAAGAAGATAACCCCAACCAACTTGAAGGTGATAGAAGTTCAGAACGTTTTAATGTTGTAATTTTGTACCCTTTTTTTCTTTTTTTGGGGTTCAGTATTCGGCTTAGGATAAGCTTTGAAAAATCTGTCAGCAAGATTTTGACAAGGGATTTTTTGTCGATTTCTGTGGAAATGTGAAGGAAAATTTTTAGACGGCTGCTTCAAGCATAGTGCCGTGCGAGATTGGCAGTAAATGGCTTCAGGACATTTAATTCGAAACTACAACGATCTTTCATTACTGTATAATCACGTAATGATGAGTGGGTTTTGGTTGTGATGTATGAATTTGATGATGGGATACTGTTATTTTATCCGACTGTCAGCACAGTTATTTACAATCAGTATGCAAGAATAGATAACAAAAATGAGAATTTATTTTGATGGGCAATGGGACTCATACGACATTTTCACTTTGATAGTACTGTTGTGATGCAAAAGGATAAAAAATAAAACAATGTCTTCTACTCATTAATGGTTAAGTAATTTGCATTTTGATTTTATATTCTTGTGTTATAAGGCAAAGTGCTAGGATTTGAATTTGGATGCTAGTAGCATGTCATGTTGGAACTTAACCAATAAATTATACCCATACCCATGGTAAATAGACAGTACAAATCAAATCAACATAATCACAAAATAATAAATCTAAGCTATTGATCAACCAAAAGAAAAATAAATTGAGAGATAATGCAAGTATAAACAAAACATAAAAAAATAGGACAAAATACTCTAATTTATTTAAGTTTTGACTATAATTCTATACGGATCCATTAATATTGAAAATAGACAATTCGTCTAAAAATATATTTTTCGCTAGACACATAAGTCTAATCGTTAATCAATTATTAATGTTTCCGTTAGTTTGATGATGTAACAATATTTTTAAAATAATTTTACACTTCATTAATTTTAACAATTATAACAATATAAATTATATTTTTATATTTAAATTTTTATCTCTTTTATTCAAAAAAATTTTGTCTCTATACTAACCAACCATCCTATAGTCAAATCTAGTCAGGGAGCATCAGACCTAGCCAAAGGATCGACACTCTTTCGAGAAGCTGACAAATCTGGTATTCCACAACTAGATCCAACCACGAGGTGGTCGGTCGATGTAAGGGAGCGCCATCGGTCGGCATGAGAAAGGAAAAGAGTTGAAAAGGAAGAAAGGCATTTTAGATATTTCATATTTAGGTATTAACTCGTTTACATGTTTGAGACGAGGTATCCATTTTAAAAACTAATGGACTTGTATGAAATTATTGTCAAAACTTAAAGAAGTTAAGATATTTTACTCTAAAAAATATCAAATATATATATATATATATGAAAAAGCTTCCAACATAGAGAGAAAAAAATCACTTGACAAACTGGATAAAAATCCATTATACGAGAAATAAACAAACTTACAAAATTGAATATCACAATTTTTTTTTGGCAAAACTTAAGATTCACAATAATTAAAATAATACGATAAAATTATCTGTTTAAGAATCTCTAAATTTACTCTCAAAACTACCCAATTATTGAATAAGCTTATCTCTCATTTACACTTTCTATAGAGTAAGAAAAACCGCTTTTTTTCATCACTTAGCCATACACACTTTTAGGCCCTCAAAGCCTTACAAATTTTGGCTTATATAAAGTTGGGAAGAAAAAGAAAAGAAATCCCTTTTTTTAATCAAATGACTTTAAAGGCTAATTAGTTATAAACCTGTGCTACACTGCGTGAAATATTAATCGACGTAAAATTTGAAACTTATTTTGTTTGCAGATTATTTTAAATAGTTAAATAATTTGATAATACATTTTAGTA